GTTCGAGTCGCGGCGAAGATGTTTAGTGTATTTTGGAAACTAATGATGTTGGAATCGGAGTGACTGCAGGAGCAGTTGTAATACCAAAATTCTTCTTTTCGGGAGGAAGATAATATTCTCCAGAATTATATGGTGGGGCAGGACTTTAGGTTAAACATTTAAGAAAGAATATAATACACGCCACAACTTTAACAGAACATGTAAAAGAGAAAATGTATTTATTCCCAAAATAGCCTACCACTAATATCGCCTGTCTGCCCATTTGAGTTTAAACACTTTCAGTTTCTCGTTAAACTATGTTTCGCTATGATAATCTGTAAATCTCAAGGTCAGTCTTAAAGAGAAGTGGGCATTGATTTAAGACAGGAATGTCTTCCACATGTGCGGTTTGCCAAAAGTTGGTTCTGCGAAAGACTTATATAAACTGGCGTCTTTAAATAAAAAAGAAACAAATGTAGTTTATGAAGAAGTTGTGTGTTGGATTTTCATCCTAAGAACGTAAAACACTTGCTTTCTCAAGAATAATAAATTTTAATAATTTATTTTAAGATTTAAAATATAAATTCCTATTCAAATATTTGGTTTTGACAACACTACAATACAACTAAGCACAGTTTAGTGACCGGAAATAGAAGGATGCCTACAAAAATGAGGAAGACTTCAGTGGTATTATGTGCGTATGAGATTCCACCAAACCCCGTCAATATGTTCGAATAAAACTTATTGGGGGTGGGGGAACAAAGTAGGTCAGAGAGACAGGAACTGAAATAGCTTCTTCAAGCTGTGGTCTGACAATCGGGACACAGGCAGGGATTTGTCTCTTTGTCAGCCAGCAGCTCGTCTGAATCTACTGCCACGATTAAGAATTCACAAAGCTGTACCTCCACTTCTCAGTACGTCCTCGTGGCACGTTTTTTTTTAGTAATTAAGGCTATAAAAGTTCTCAAATAGTAAGCGTGGTCTCTTTTTTCATGCATTATGCAAGGCGAAACGTCTATGTTAACCGTATTAGCCCGACTAATCCTCCGCTCTATAGGCATTACGCCTATTGTACCTTCAGTTGGATTTCCCGTCGCTTTTAGGGCGACTAAAGCATTTGTTACCAATAGGTTTATAAATAAATCATTCAGGTATTTTTGTAGCTTCTATTCTCTGCAACTTATTTCTGTAGTCTAACTGAGTCCCCTTGTGACCAAGGCTTGGCGCGTCCTGACGTTTCTAATAGAGACGGCCTCCAAATATGGAGGGTAGGTGCGAACACTTTAATCCACACAGCCGACCAATCCTCAGACTATTATGTTCTTGTACGAAACTTTCGCCGTAAAAATATATATATCATGCTACGAAATATTACAAAGGGCGTAGGACTTGGATGGACACGGGTATGAAACCTGGTCTTTAACTCAAAGGGAGGATTGTAGATTGAGAACAAAATGACGAATCTACACCTTACAAAGACGAAGTAACAGCAGAATGGAACAAAAAGCCTACATAATAAAGAATTTAAACATTATTAAGGGGATCTAAAGACTGATGGTGAGATAGGCAAGACATGTAGTACACATGGAAGAGATGAAAAATTCATAATAAATGTTGGTCGAGAGCTTCAATGGAAAAGGCCAATTGTAACACTTTTACGTAGATGGGGGATAATGTTAAAAGAGATCTCAGAGGATCTGCATTGGATTCAACTGGCTCAGAATAGGGCCCAATGGTTGACTTTAGTGAATACATTGTTGAACCTTCGGTTTCCATAAAAGCAGGCGATTTCTCCAACTATCAACCTCTTAAGGCAATGCATGTTTCCGTAACATTGGAATCTTTCTACTAGTCACAGGAATAAAGAAACTGATGGGGGTGGACGATTCGCTGTTCGGCCTCGGCACCACACGAACCCAGGTGCTGCAGATGGCCTTAGCAGAGCTTGTGGGGACAGGCCTGCTCGTCTTTCTGGGATGTATGGGCACCGTAGTGGGGATGTCGCACAGCGCTCACCCTCATCTGCTCATTGCCTTCGCATTCGGGCTGACTGTCATGATCGTCATTCAGGTAGGTTCACGTGAAACTCTAGTAGCAATAAGCAACTTACGAATAATTAATCAACCAGAGAGCTAACAGCTGTCAAAGACGAAACGTAGCTGGTAATCTAACGTCTGCATCTTTCATAGCACCACTATAGCTGTCTCAAAGCATTTTCCATGGCTTCACCGACGCAATGAAACAAGATCTTCCCGAAGAGTTCCCAAAATTCCACACCTTATTCACAATAGATCGCCATGGACCCTATTCCAGGCCAGTTAAATCCAGTCCACGTATTCAAATTTTATTAATCTACCGGTAATATTCGTTCCATGTTCACATGTGAAATGACCAGGACTATAATATTGAGCCAGTTTTTTCTTGACAATGAATTGCATTACTGGTGTAGTGTGATAACTGAATAACACAGTACATTGCACATAGAAGTGTCACTATGTCATCACTATAGTTTGTAGATAGCTTTATTGTTTCTTATAGAAAGACAGTATTGAAATCACAAACATAGGTAGTTCAAAGTCACGATTTTTTCTCAAATGCAAATTTCTTTTGCATCTCTAGTACAAATATTTACTATTTTAATTTGGGTATGAGGAAATCAAGTGACGACTCTCAGTTCACATTTGATTTAATGTGTCTTTACACTAATCAGTTTTGGATAGTGTCCAAATTATTATTAATAATTTTATTTCTGTGTCTTAAGTATATCTGTAAGCACATTCAGTCAACTTAATAGTTATTTTAGTCCTTTAACTACTAACACAATTTTCCTTGTGAGGTTCTTTGCCTCATACTCATTTTGAAATAGTCTCATCTGATCTCTGAGTAAAACCGATTACCTACACCTGGGATAAATCAATGAGGACATTCAGCTTACTTTCTCAAATAAGATGAGGATTTTCATCAGGTGTCCTTTACTGTTAGAAATATAACCAGTGAATTATATTAATACTTTTATAAATTTTATTACAAAGTGAAATGTATCTTATATGAACATGAAGATCATCGGGAGAATGTAAAGTGTACCTTATTTTTCCAACTTTGGATTTGGTCTTCTGGTTGTGACACTGTGTAGTCTTGTACATGGTTCCCGGCATTTTGGAACAACTCACCACCTCCATTATAAGGAGGTAAATAGTTCCTCCAAAATGTTCATCACAATCTACAAGACATCAGTAAACATAACCTAGGAAAATACAATTCAAACTTTTAGCACTGTGGATTCCTCAAATCTAACATATTTTTAAATTTTCATAGATAATGGCACACATCAGCAAAGCTCATCTGAATCCAGCAGTAACGTTCGCACTTGTCGTCATAGGTGATCTGAATGTGCCATTGGCTGGAGTCTACATTCTTTCACAGGTCATTGGGGCCACATTAGGTTATGGTGTCCTCATGGTGAGTCAGAGTACCTATTTAAGGAACTTAAATATAGTGTAGTCTGTTTCTTGGTTTAATGTGCAGAAATATCACTTAAGTCAATCATTAACGCTTACAAAATTTGTTCGGCTAATCAAACCATATTTAAACAAAACTTATAGCAATGACAGTACAGGTAACCATTTGTGTGATGCATTTCCTATTCAGAATGGTATGAAGAAAGGAGATGCTCTATCACTATTGCATTTAAAGATACCTCAACATTCATCTATAAAATCCAAGGAGAACCATGAAGTAACTCAAGGTAACTAGTAACTCAGCCGAGACTCAAACTGGATCCCTCCGAGTATAAATCTAGTGTTACTGTTACACCACAGTGTTTAATGCAAAGGTGGGGATATACCAAGAGTCTTTCAAAGACACAGGCTGAGTGCCTTGATAAAATCAGGCCACATTAAATTCTACATATATTTTGTATCATAAGCCTATCACCCAGTAGTCTACACCTAACTAACTTCTTTGTACAGGCAATTACTCCAGATCGAGTTCTGAAAGAGCACAGTCCCAATGGTACCTGTTGCGCGATGTGCGTCACCACAGTAAATCCTGAAATGACATCTCTGCAGGGCTTGCTTGCAGAGTTCCTGGTCACTTCAATCCTTGTGCTTGTGGTATGCTCAGTCTTTGATAGGAGGAACGCACATAACACAGATTCTGTCTCGATAAAGTTCGGACTAACAGTTGCAGCCATCGCAATGAATGAGGTATGTTTAACAAGTGGGTTACCCTTCATTCTTACTAACAGCATAAACAGCCAAGGTTAAATCATAATGAAGCCTAAGTATGTACATTAGCCACTTATGCCACTCAGACTTTGGTTGGGAGTTGTGAATTTAATCAGATTCCGAGTACAGAACAGGAGTGGTAGCCACTTGATCAAGATATTTGGCCCCATCTATGTACATATTATGTATGAGGAGGAGGAAAATTACAGTTAGAGCATGCCAGTATATTTTGCATAACCTAATTACGTATGATTTACATGTGTACATTTCTCTTAAAATATGAGTAGTTTCATACTGGAAAACATGTTGCAGGGACCATACACTGGTGGAAGTATGAACCCTGCCAGATCATTTGGGCCTGCCATTTGGACTGGAGTTTGGGAAAATCACTGGGTGAGTCCAACTTGGAATGATTCAGGGTCAACATAACCCAGGATTCAACATATCCCAAGCACGAGGCCACCCTAGCATCTAATATTTTCTTGTGTATCATTTTAAATTTTCCTGCAATCATGTACGAGTTTTAAAATTTGCTGCTTATAGATCTGCAGCCCAAGATGTCTCCTCTTTGTGTTGATTGTCTGGCAAACAAGCCTTTCCATCTATCTCTGACTTCCCTTTACAGCTGCTCTATACAGTTTTTTACCACATACTCCTTTCTGTGTGATCTTTCCTAACCTGTTATTTCCATCTTGATCTCAGCACCTTCAGCCATTGGTGTTTTTTACTTTACTTTCATGTTCTAAACCTTCTTTGGGATTCTTTCCTCTTTCATTCTTAAAACATGATCATACCTTTATAATCTGTTATCAATCTGACTTCTTTAGATTCTCTCTATGCAAGCTAGAGGCTTAATGTTCTGTTTCTTGTCCAACGTACCTATTGAGACTGGTCACATCATAGAAAATGTTCAGTCAGTTCTTTGCTATTTTTCAAACAACAGCTGTCTTGTGTTACAGGTGTATTGGGTTGGACCACTTGCTGCAGGACTCTTGACATCAGCATTCTACAGGTTTGTGTTTGGTGTCCCTCCCGTACATCAATTAGCTCCTCATGAAACAGACCAAGGTATACTCCTAACTAGTGTGAGAGATGGAGGAACAGAGGAAACCAATATGAAATGAAAGTCATCTCTAGTACAACAATCTGTGCAATACAACAGAAGTTGTGTTCATTAGGAATTATAATTTTACTGAAGTGATATTTCTTCTTTTTAAGCAGTCCTTTTCAACGGTCAGGCACTATATCTTAGCTACAACGAAATTATACAGATTTTATACAGTTACATGTCTTGTGATGGCTGTCTTCTGGATTGTAGTGCCGTATAATCTGGTAGAAAATCTCAAATCATAGTTACATGTCTTGTCTTCCATTCTGAAATGTATTTTGTAAACAGCAAAATACTCATTTAACCTATTTAATATGTGATTTTATCAGTTATCTATATACATTATTTTTGTTTTCTTTGATGTCTCAAAGTACTTTATAATTTTAATTAAGTCAGCACTTCCTTAATCACAAGTTTGTTATTATAGGCAAGATCTCTTCCAAATACTAACTTGGAACGATTTCAACAAGCTAAAATGCACACTAAGAACAAGTTCTGCATAATCTACTTATTCACAGAAGCTCATATTTCTAATGATAATCTGACTGATTTTGTCTCTAAGTCCTGTGTGTCCCAGAATGTGTGTTCATGAAGTGTAAGTTTGTCCTAAACCTAACTGAAATGTATGGTTCAAATGATCACAAAGCTAGTGTAAAAACATTGTATGTAATGAAGTATGTATATAAATAAAGAACTAATTACTTTCTCATCTGCAACATAATTAATATAGACCATTGTTTCCAAAAAATATTTGTCTATGGAATCCTTCTGTCTTCAAAAAGTAATGACAGAACCACAAACGAAAACTAAAAGTCACAGATTTGGAATGACATAATATGATGAAATTTGTACATACAAAAAGAAGCACAGAAAATTAAGATTATAAGAATTATTCTGAATACCTGGAATTACCAGCTGGAATAATTGTTTCTTTAAGTACATTTTGAAAAAATTGTAAAGGTAGCTATTAAGCCTATTCTGCCACAATTAACAGTTGCACTAATTATGGTTCTGTTTGGTTCAATTTAAGAACTACTTTGACAAATTCTGATATATGGCAATTCCATTATGTAAAGCCCAATGGCAATTATGTGTACCATCTATTTAATAATCAATAACTCTGCAATTTGCATAAAAAGTGTATTTATAAATTTCAAAAGATTCTCAGAATAAAGAGTGAATTTTGTCTCTTAAACAACAGAAGAAACTGATTTTTGTAACACATATGTTTTGCTTTTTCTCTGTTACAAACTAAAATTTTAAATATCACTTAAATGATCTATAGCTTCAAAGTGTTAAGACTCGCCTTACTTCAGAGTCCAAGTACATTTTTGTGCATATCTAAGTATTTAACAGAGAGAATAACATCTTGATTAAAAACCATCGAACCCATAAACTACAAGTTGAGTCTTATACAATATTTGCATAAACCTGATTTCTATATTGTTAACCATCTAATTCTGACATTCAGTGACACTGATCTTTTAACACCAGAATTTAAAAATTAAAACTATGTCAATACCAAGCAACAGACTGAATGGCATGTTACGGCTTCTTGCTCATCAAAAGTAAATTTATCCCATTACATGCCATGTAGGTGCTGAGGTCAGGACCCCTGTACCCATTGGACAGGAGGCTAATATAATCCATGCTGATATTATATTTTGAAAGGATAAGCAATTAACACTGGAAAACAAATTCATAATTCTGAGTTTTGGACAGAATTTTAAACAAGAAGTTGACATTGAAGTGCTCTATAAATTTTAAAACCTGAATAGTAATATCAACTGAATAAATGACTATTTCATTATTTTGCTACTAAAGACAGTTCTATCACTGGCTCAGTGTTGTAAAACATATTTCACATATCTGTACATTTTCTAGCATTTTCCGAGCACTTAATGTTTCAGGATCAGATGGTGACTAAGTTGTTGTTTCTTGGCTCTACAACCCAGTTGTGGGTTTTTGGGTGACTAAGTATGTAGACTAAATAATGTGGGAATAATGTTCATAAAAGCTGCAAGACTGTCCCCGCTTAGTAGTACATAAAGAATTAATATTTTATTACATGCAACATTTACCACAGTTACAGTTATTTACACTGTATGGTGAAGAAGACAGCATCTATGCATGTGATGTAATGCTCTCCCACAGAGCTTCAATCTGTTCAGACAAGTCACCACAGCTCTTTGGATCTTCATTCTTGATGTGGAAGAGGATATTCTTTATTCTGCAATAAGTGACAAAAGGATTTGGACTGGAGATGTAGTCGCTTTCAAACGCTTCTTTTCGCTGTTTAAGTTCTTCCAATCTTAGCAGAACACTATTTTTATCATCACTGTCATCACCAGCCTCTACTGCACTTGCTACATCACCAACAATTTTCTGAGATTTTGCAAATGCTGTGGCAATTTCACACTCCCATTTCTTTATCTTAACACAGTCTTGAAAATATTGTAAATTCTCCTTTGCTAAGATGGCATTTTTACCGATTTTCAGTACCTCTAATACCCCGTGCCACTGCCCAAATGATTTGTTCTGACAATCTTTGCATGCATCTGTTTCTTCAGTCACTGTCCCATTCTTGCCACTTGATGCTGATAAACTCGCTAGTTTATCACCGAGATTCTCTGAAGCCCATTCAACAACGCCCGCACAAAGGTGAGCTTGCAGACTCTTAGCTACACCTCTAAGCTCACCATTATTTTCTACACAAAATATACTCTTCTGTACAAATGGACCTGAGAATACAGAGATAACACAACTGTCAAAACACAGATATATACAACAAATTTTTGATTTAATCATTAGACATTAATGTTCTTCATAATAAGATTTCCATCTTTATTAACATCTTTTAGTCTGCTCAAATATAAATAAAATTCTTTAAGATTTTATAAAGAATTTTTAAAATATACCAATGATAAATATTAAAACTGATCTCATTTTAAAACATGTATGAAAATCTAACTGTAAAAGTGTTAAAACTGGCCTCTCAATCACGTATGTAAATATTACGTCTCTTTCCTCTGACTTTACATTAATATAGTACTGCTGGAGCACAGGATTTTTC